AAGTGAATTTTTCTTTTTTCCTTGTAGTTTTAGGTGTTACTAATGTATTGATGATGTGTTGTTCACTAATAAGAAAAAATAAAAGGTTTTAAAATTATAAACAAAAAGACCTCACCAAAACAACAAAAGAAATGAAACCATAAAGATGCCATATATATTTTTACACACGGATGGCAGAAATCATGCTTTACTACAAAGCCCTCATAGTGCAAGTACTACTCATCAGTCAGTTATAGTGCTGTGTTCCCCCCTGGATTGGGTGACTTTAGTAGTGAAACAAGGTAAGGAATTGTATGGAGCAGCTGTAAGAATATGCTCTAGGCTAGGGTGCCTGAGAAGGTAGATAGTGCAAGAGATGCTGGTATTTGATTTCCCCAGGGCCATAGAATTGCTAAATCTTCGTGCAAGTGGGCAGTTCAAGACCCAGCCCTGGTAAGTCTTCCAGAGGGAAAACTGTTCACCTCTCACCTCTCGGGAAGTCTTGCCGGTGGCAGGGGTACCTAGCAGAGAGGGGTGTGAGTGAGGATCGGTGGAGGTAGTGTGGTCGATGACAGTGGGTGGTGATGTAGTTGCAGCCAGTTCTCCTAAACTAGAAGACAGAAATTCTCACACTTCTGTCACTACTTTTTCATGGCAAGTTCAAATTTTTAAAATTCAAAACGTTAAAACGTTAGAGATTTAAAGTTGTGCAATTTTTTTTTCATGGATAAAGCATGTTGAATTCAGCTCTCAGCATATAATTCAATTCAGTAAGCATTTGTTGAAAAATTAATATTTTAATTAATTTAAAAATTAATATCATATTTAACTTAATGCTTCCATGTGTCACTCCCTTCATGAAAATTGCCACTCATTCTTTCTATGATATTAAATCCCAGTTTCACTCTCTGCTTTCAAAAGCTCTCCATAGTCACGCAACCACCATCTGTACAATTTTATTCTTCAATGGAAATTTTCTGTGTGAGGCAGTCTTGATTTTCTTTCATTCTTAGATGTTTATGCTTATGCTCATTTCTGTATCTTTCCATAGTGATTCTTCCATTCTGACAGCACAGTGGGTGAGGGCAAAGTCTTGGGGTCAGTGGGCTTGGGGTCAAATCTAGCACTTTCTGTGTGAACATGAACAACATGCCCAGCCTCTGTAAACCTCTGTTTTCTCATCTTTAAAATAAGTCTCCATTAATAATTACTTCACTGGGTTGCTAGAAAGATTAAATGTGCAGTTTATAAAGCACTTAACCCAGAGCCCGACACTCAGTAATTCTAGGTGACTTGCAATGCATCATCTTTGCAAGAGATTTTCTAGGAAATATAAGCTGTTTTTTGGTGGTGTTAGGGTAGGAACTAGGTATTGCTGGATTATTTTCCAAGAACATCCATGCCTGACAGCAGTCTAACTATGTTCCCATTTGTCTACATTCTTGCCAGTGCTTGCTACTACTGTCAGATCAGGCCTGCCCAGGGCAAGAGTACACATCCCCATATACTAAAGATCTACCTATTTAAAAGGTAGGAGTTAAGATATTAAGCATCTAAGTAAAACTTGAACATCTATTCTTCCTCTGATGGATATGGCTTCATATTGACTTGGAGAACGAGGTTTGAACTTAGAATTTTCAGACTCCTTGGCGTTCTTTGTTATGACGTGACAGCATGGAGGATTGAGGGTGTCCTTGGCCTCTTCCTATCCCCTTCTCCAGCCCCCAGCTCCATCCTGTACTGCCAAAGGCCTTGCATGCCTGCCCACACCCCTAGGGTACGTGAGGCCTAGGGATGTGTGGTCCCTTTGCAGGAGGACAGTCCCAGGGAAGAGCCCTGTGCAGGCCCTAGAGGCAGACTTCTTTGGGTAGGGTAGGGCTCTGGTCACCCCAAGGTGGGGGCCTAGGGTCTGGTGAGCACATCTGCTGGCCCCATGGACTTTTCTCCGATGAGCTTGAGGAGGCCATGGTGGGTCCTCAGAGCTGTGATGCAGGGCAGACTTAGGGTTTTTGTCCATCGGAGGGTGTAGAACAGTAGCTCATTGTTTTCATTTGAATAATTCTGATTATTATGAGGTTGAGAACTTTTTCATATACATATGGAATTTTTCTACTGAGTTGATGTTTTCCTTGGACAGAGTTTCTCTATGTTTTCAATACATACAAATACTTCATCTCTTAATAAGTGTTGTCATTTTTTCCCCCTCAGACTGGACTTTGTCTTTTGACAAACATTTTAAAGTTTGATGATGTCAGATTTATCATTTTTTTCCTTGTGAGTTTTGTTTAAGAAATCGTCTCATTATTCTAAGGTGTAAAAATATTATTCTGTTTTTTTCTAAAGATTTTGTTCACATCTGGGTCTTTATCTGGAATTTATCTAAGGCCTTTACATGAATTTTCACATTTAATCCTTGCAGCAATCTGTGAGTTAGGCACTCTGGTTTCCTAGTGGTCAGATGATTGGAAGGGGTTGAATGACTTTCCCAATTTCACACAGCTGATCAGGGCAGAGCCATGACGGGAGATGCCCTCCATTCTTCCCGGTGCGAGGTGATATGTCATTGTGATGTTGATTTGCATTTCCCTGATGATGGGTGATGATGAGTACTTTTTCATGTACCTGTTGGCCATCTGTATGTCTTCTTTGGGAAACTGTCTACTTTTAATTGATTTTTTTTCTCTTGAGTTGTATGAGTTCCTTATAGATTTTATTTTATTTTTTAAGATTTTATCTATTTATCAATTTTAGAGAGAGAGAGAGCACTAGTGGGAGGAGGGACAGAGGGGGAGGGAGAGGGAGACAGAATCTGAAGCAGACTCGGCACTAAGCTCAGAACCCCACGCGGGGCTCGATCCCTCCACCGTGAGATCACGGCCTGAGCTGAAACCAAGACTTGGACTCTCAACCTACTGAGCCACCCAGGTGCCCCTCCTTATATATTTTAGATTACAGATTTTAGATTTTAGATATTGGCCCCTTATCACATACATGATTTGCAAATACTTTCTTCTCTTCTGTAGCTTGCCCTTTCATTTTCTTGACGGTTTACTTTGCTGTGTTTATTTTTGCTTTTGTTGCTCTAGTATTTCAAATAAGCATAAAGGACTCTGTTTAATTAATATTGAGAGAGCAAGGAAATTGAGAGTTCAAGCTGCCCTCTATGGCATGGTTTTCTAGGCCATGACCGGCTGCATAGTCTTAGGAGCTCAACTGTTATAAACGACTGGAGCACAAATACGGAAGCATGCTGGTCCTGCGCTCCTGGAGCTGTGGAAGGGACATGCGCGGTGGGACGTCAAGGCAGTGCACCTGCTCCTGTCCCGGAGGCTCGGTTCACTGCTGTCACTGGCTAAATGATGCTGGTACACGAGCCCACCTCTTCTTAGGCCTGCCAGTGCTCCCCTGAGAAGCCCCCTGAATGTACACCCAGATGCTTTTACAAGAAAACTAATTAGGTTTTTTCCCTACAAAAGAAGCATATGTTGAAGTTTATGAAACTTCTGAGGTCCCAAATAAGCAGCCTTCTTGGTGTCATTTATCAAAATGCCACAGTTTTTCATTTTTTATGGTGGTACTGCGGCTTAATTAAAGCCCGACAATCAATTAAATCAAGTCAACGTAATCTGCTGAGCTTTGTCTAAACCAGGTTGAGAGCCTGAGACAACAGCAATTGTATATGATGCAGTCATGGCCTTCAAGGAAAGGACTGTCTGAGAGCAGCAAAGTGAATCTTCAGGGAGAGCATAGTTGTCAGGGGGAACCAAGCTGTGCAAGGCTGGGCTGAGGACAGCAGGGGTTCTGGAAGGAAGGTCTGTGGGGGCCATTGCTACTTCGTAAGGCTTCACGGAAGGGGGAGATTGAGCCTGGCCTGAAGGGAGCAGTGGGTAGGGGAAGGAAGGAGCGAGGGCATTGGCGGCAGGGCGGTTAGCCTGGGGAAGCGCAAGGAGGTGGGAGACAGTTTGGTACAAGTTGTTCACAATGGGGATTCGGGGTCCCTCAGAGGGCATACTGTGGTGAGTGTGCAAAACCAACTCCTGTCAACAGAGGGCAACAATCCCACCCACTGTGGAGTGGGAGGACCAGGGAAGAGGCTGTGGGAGTGTTGTGGGACCTCGGGATGGGACTAGGGGAGGATCACTCCCCACTCACAGTCAAACCTGTCGTGGGCAGCTCAGGAGCTGGGGCAGCGAGGGCTGCCACCAAGGCCTGTCTCTGCCATTCCACTGCAAGCGGCTCAGCAAAGAGTCGGGGTGATTTGGAGCAAGTTTCTGAATCTCCTGCCTCGGTTTTCTCATCTGTATATTGGGGATAATGATACATCATGGGGAGTGTGAGTGCTCAGCACATTGCCTGACACAAATATTTGTGCAGGGTGTGTGTGTATGAATTATGTTAGATATGTCCATTTATATTTATAATATACTCCAGGCCCACCAACATGGGCCCTGACATGGAGTTCCTGACGCGAGTGAACGAGGTGGTTGGTCACTTCTTCCAATCCCCATAAGTCACCCTCCAAGTGGAGAAGCGAGGGTAGTTCCTCCATAATTTAATGTCATTAAATTATATAATCAATATAATGTGTAATCAAATATATATTATATAATATATAATTATATAAATACATAATTAAATTATAATCATATAATTAAATCATAATAAATTAATAAATAATTAAATTATATAATATAACCATGACTTTATATAATGTTCTATATTATAACATGTGACTATATATTTACAAATGTATAAAATATATTTATTATAATATATAATTTATGTTATATATAATATATGATTATATTATTTATATTCACATACAACTATATGCATTGTAAAGTTTATATTTTATAAAACATTTTATAATTTATAATGCATTTTTATTTATTGATTTTATTTATAAAATTAGATGTATATTGATACATCACATATAAATAATAACTATATTTATATCTATAATTATTTACAGAAATTATAAAATACACTTATAATGATCCCAAAACTCATGGCTTGTCTCAGGTTCCTTTTTCTTACAAAACCTGTACTTGGGCAGAACAAGCAGATGAGGACTTGTGTGCAGGTGGGTAAGAAAACGGAGCTCCTTCCGTGTGCTGTGCTCGTTTCCAGTGTCTGTGCCTTCCCCTCGTGTCATCACCTGTGGCCAAGGCCACGGGAGCCAAGCTGCCTCCCATCACTGCCACCCCCACTTTGTTAAGAGCAGCCCGAGGCCTGGCCAGGTCTTCTCCCCTCCAGTCCTGTGCCTGCGCCAGGGTACCCTGCCACTTGTGAGCCCAGCAGGATTTCAGTGGACCTTCTTCATCACCTCGGGCTCTAACTACAGACTCGTGGCTCCATTTCTTCGACAAGATTTATCTCCTGAGTTTGCTCTTTAGGAACTCAGCCCCCCCGCCCCCGGAACTGGGATGAGGTGGGCCAGTGAGATGTGGGCGCTGTGCTGATGGCCAGGTGTGTGTCGTGTCACCACCAGGCTGGAGCCCTGCCCGAGGAGTGACTTTAGGGACAAGCCAGCGCCCCTAGGAGCCCGACGCGAGCTCCCTCCACCACACGGGGCTGGCTCGCGTTTTGGCCAAGCGTGTTTTCTATCAGAAGGATGCCAGCATGGGAATGTTCTGTCTAGAATTGTCTAGACTACTGCCACTGTCATTTTGTTGACTTAGTTAATGACATCAAGCTACTGTTGTGTTATTTCTGCCACTTTTTATATACCATACAGCTTATTAAACACAGGGAGGAAACCCCCCGCCTTTCACCCCCATTCCCGATCTTTACAACCCGGGTGCCCACTGTTTGTCTCTGAGTGTGCAGGGCATTTAGAGCTGCAGGAGCGCAGACAGACACATTGCCAGGGGCCACTTGGGTTTTGTCTCCGAGCAAACAAAACCCTGGAGTGCAAACACAGGACTTTTGTTCTCGTGGACACCGTTCCCGGGCATGAAAAGCACGCCGGCTCCTTCCTTCGCCACCTTTTGCCAGGCGTGACTTGGCCTCCTCCCGTGGCCAATCTGCTTTCCTCGCCTCATTCCCTGGCCTTGGCCACAGAGGGGCCTTAACCTCCCCGGGGGGAGACGACCCTGGGCTCTATTCCCCAGGGACAGGGCTGCTTTGAAGTGTGTGGTCTTGAAACCCACTCGCCCACGATAAGTAACAGCGTCCCCACAACACCTACCCATCAATGTGGTTTTTTCTGCATGTAAGTTGTTGAGAATAGTCAAGGTGAAAGCTCATCACAATTCTGAAGAAATTACTTCTTAGAAACTTTCTTGTCCTCCTAATTGGCAGGAAGCGAGTCTGGAACCTGCAGTAGGAGTAGAGACCCAGCCCTCCCCGGACCCCGGTGCTCCCACCCTGCAGAGCGCTTGTCTCGTCAACAACGCTCTCTTCCTGCCTGCCCCAGATTCTGGCTGCTGATTTAATTCGATGAGAGCCTGATTTGCCCTTTTGCCCTCACCTCAGATATGTGTAGTAATATAAAATGGCTTCCTTTATGGGTCTCTTGCTATTGCATCTCAGCACAATAGTCAGGGTCTGACGTGCCAGAAACGCAGAACAGATTTCTAAACGCTGCGATCAGAGAATGCGCAAACACCACAGAGCGTCTTGTTCTCTTTGAAGGTTCAAAATATCAATCAAAATACTGTAGCCAATGACCCTTGGTAGGCTGGTCAAGGAAATGCAACCCGACCCACCAACTGTCCCCAGGCAGTTAGGAAACAGATTGCAGTCAGGGTTGGAGGCACAGGAGGGTGAAAAGGGGAAATTGTCCCTGGCAGTCAGTCCGGGGCCTTCCCACGTCTGCGCACTCATTGTGAGGTTTCTCTGAGGTTTCTCTGTATTTCTTAAACATGGCTTTTAAATGGGAGTTTGTGATTTTGTAACACCCTGAATTAATTTACAGGCCTTTTGAAGCCAGAGCAGTTGTGGGGTGAGGGGGAGCATTGGCCTCCCCTCTGGGGAGAGTGAGGCAGAGCTGACCGGGGACTCTTCCCCGGGGCGGGGGGAGGAGGGGACTTACAGACCTTCGACTTGGGGAGTAGCCTTGATTTCAGGCTTCCTGTGTTGTCTTTTCAACTGCTTTCCCCCATTTTGGTTTGGAAAGTCACCTTTATACCACTTCCCCTTGATTTCAGTAATCTCTTCCCAAGTGTCTAGGGCACACCTGTTACCTCAGCTTTTCTGTCAGAAAAACTCGCACTGAAGTGCTGGAGGCCCCCTGAGCTGTCTGCTTGGGGTGGAGGACAGTGTTGGGGTTTGGAAAGGCAGCAACATGGGCCCTGACATGGAGTTCCTGACGCGAGTGAACGAGGTGGTTGGTCACTTCTTCCAATCCCCATAAGTCACCCTCCAAGTGGAGAAGCGAGGGTAGTTCCTCCATGTCACCATCCCCTGTCTCTTTGGCCAACTTTCTTTTTGTGACGGAAAAAAAAAAGAATACTACTTATTTAGCATACGAAGTACCATGCACTATTCTAAACATTTCATGGAAATAGTAACTCATTTAATCTGTACAACAACACCATGGGGTAGGTATTCTGTTTTTTTAATCCTGATTTGACAAATGAGGAAACTGAGGCACAGGGTGGTTTGTAGCTTGGCTTAATGATACAAGCATGAGATCGTTGGTGGTTACATATCTCTCTGTGGTGATGTTCTGAGCCAGTTCCCAACAAATCCACCATGTCCGTCCTCCCTGAGCTGACACAGCTGTCCCAGCCCACCTGAGCTTGCTGGGTTACTTACATTTCAGGACTCATTTCAGTCAGCTGCTTCATTTCACTTCAAGGTCATGTCTTTTCCTTCAGAATGGAATCCATTCCAGGGTACTGTGCGGAGGAGGCTGCCCTGCAAGGTGACTTGACCCATGCAAACAGAAGGTCATTCATTCTAAAGCGTTCACTCAGCTCCGGGGAAGGTGAGCTGGGAGGTCACCATAAGGTCAGCCTCATTTCGGGTCTGCTAAATTCACAGACCTCGAATTCCACAAAGATTCTGAAAGCTTATGAAATAAAAAGCCAATCAGCCCATTGTTCTTCAGCTTCTTCAAAATCTGGAATATCCACCAATCTGATCTGTTTGGAGAAATACATAATCAAAGCCCAACTAAGCATATTAAAAAAAAAAGGTTTTGAGTTTCTTACTGAAGGACAACCCTGGAGATGCTCAGGGGAAAGCCGAGCATACAGCTGAAGGGAATCTGGGGCGGTTTGGTGGGAGGCCATGCCATGGCGCTGCACTGCTTTATGCAGTCATTACTGCTTGCCTGGTGGCTCTGAATTGGTCTGGTTCTCAGTAGGACCCTCATACGTATGTGTCACTAGAGAGTAGATGATGGGATGAATGAAGTGTACCAAGTCTGTAAGGGAGCGTAACCAGGGTCTGGCTCTCAGAACACTGCAGGCCGGAGGCCATGAGGCCCACCTTCTTCCACCCTGGCCGGGGGCTATAGGAATTGCCCCCTTTCAGTTATGTTAACATCTCTAACTGTTCCCGAATTTCTGATCCCCCTTCCTCCCTTCTCATTCCCAGAAGAAACAGAAACTGCAGGAGAGAACTTTCTGCTACCAAATCAATAATCTTCCTTCTTCTCCTGTTCTCCTCAGGGCCTGCTGCTGTGGAGGTGGGGCAGCTCCTCTCCCCTCTCATCCCCACAGGGACTTCTCCCTGTGATGGATGATTCCTCCCCACCTATGTCTTCCAGCTCCTACTACGGGCTCCTTCCTGCCGGCATTCACACATGCTCAGGTCTCCTTTATAAGTTCAACAAAACTACCTCCTGACCTACATTCTTACACCGCCCCCTGCAGCTGCTGGCTCCTTCTCTTTATGGCCAAACTTCTTGAGAGCTCGTTGGCTCTCCTGGCCTCTCATTCATTCCAGATTCTGTTGTCACCAGCATAGCTCTCAGCAAGGCCACCAATGACCATCTTGTGGCTATGGAACCGATGACACGCTGGTCATCTCCGCCTTTCCTGAAACACTTCCTCAGCTTTTATGACACGGGGGACCCTCTTCTGGTTTTTCCTCCCATCAGTCTCCTTGGCAGCTGCCTTCCTTAGCTCTCCCCTTTATGTTGAGCTTTTTTTGGGTTATGTCCTGGTTTCTCCTCTCTTCCTGTCCAACATGCTCCGCAGATTGATTGTCTCCTCCCATGGTTTGAAGAGTTACCAGTGTCCTCCGACAACTCAGATCTAAATGTCTAGTGTAGTTGTTGGTGCTGAGCTCCTGGTGTGCACAATCCACCCCAGTGCTCATTTCCACGAGGGTGTGTATGGATACCTCAAACTCAGCATGTCCAAAATGGAGCCCTTTATTCTTCATCCATAACCCACGCCTCCTTGACTGCTTCCTGTCTCAAGTGAGGGGGACCATTGTCCACCCAGTGGCTCGAGCCAGAGCCCCGGGACTCACCCTTAACTTCTACATCTTTCTTGACTCCCCACCATCCAATCAATCACCACACTGTATGAATTCTATGTCCCAAATACTTCTTGAGTTTGTGCCTGTCTCCCCTCACCCACGGTGGCCCCCACATCCGGGCCACCTTCAGCTCTCACACAGGTCATGGTGTCTGCCTTCTGGGTGGCTCTATGTTAAGTATTGCTATTTTTCCATCTGTTCTCCAAACTGCATCTAGAGCGATCTTTTAAAAATGCACGTTATCAAGTCACTCCTCTGTTGAAAACTTCCAGTGGATTCCACGCATTTAGGAAGAAGTCCAAACGTCTTAATGCATGTGGATTTTCATGTCTTGGCCCCGACTCCTTCCACTCCCATCTCCTGCCCCTGCTTATCTGTGGCAGACTTTTACCTTCTTCAAGGAATAAAATGTGGGGCCGTCTAAATCCTCCTCTGTCCATGGCGATTTGACCAACCGCACGCAGAGTGATCGCCTCCCTGTGCATTCCCAGGGTCTTTGCCGGGCTCCAGGGGCAGACCGGGAATGTCACCTTCCCCTCCGAAGCCTGTGGTGAGTCTTTGTGGTTGCAAGACCTCTGGAGTCTTGCCCTGAGGCTTACCGGTTTTATTGTCACCTTCACTTCTTAACTAAGAGAGAGGGAGGGGACAAGGGTGGTGGATGCTTCAGTATTTAAAATCCCTAAACCCAACAAAATTTATGTGGACATTGTAATTATGACTATGCTGAATTAATGAACTCTATCCTCTCCTTTTTTGGTTGGAAGAACATAACGATCCCAATGAAAGGAAACAGATGTCGTTGCTTTGAGCATTTCCAAAGGCAACTGCAGTAAAATATGAAACATCACCGTCTAAAAGCCTGCTGTGTCACGGAGATGTGCTGATATTGTCAGCTGTGTGTGAGTGGAGTTGGTGCCTCTGGCCAACCCGGCCCCCACATCAGAGGAATAACAACGACAAAGTCATGGAAATGTTAAGGGAAAAACTCAAACTGCGCTCTGAAGTGCGCTCGGCTTTCCTTTTAACCAAAAGCCACGTAAAAGAAGTGAGTCCAAAGGAGGACTTGTGGGCTGGTCATTAAAAGTGATTTATGAACCCAGGAGGAGGAAAGAGGCTCATCAGGAAGAACGATCTTTGGTGATCAATGTCTAAGCCTGGTTAGCAGACGAGAACTCTGGTTCACCCTGATGGTGAACGAGAGCCAGCACGTGTTCCAGCGAGGGCCGCTGCTCACGCTCACTGCACGCAGAGCATCTGCCCATGACCCTCCTGTCTGACCTTCTGTGTTCAGGGCCGTCTGGCCGCTGCCTGGTGGCTTGGATGTCCTAGGATGTCCTCTGCCAGTGCGTTGGGGAAGGGGAGACTTTTTCCTTCTCCCAAGCCGGGCAGGGGTCAGTGGATATCCTTTTACCCCCTTACAAGCTTGCTTTCCTACAAAATGTCAGAGCTTGTGTATTTCTGTCCATTTTTTGAAGAAGTGCCGGACTCCTATTGGTGACTAGCCTCTCCCTCTTCTTTTCTCTTCCTTCTTTGTCTCCCGCTTCATTCTTCTTCCTCCCTTCCTACCAGTGCAATTTAGAGGCCTGAAATCAGAAATGAAGGGGAAGCCTGCCCTTAACCCCTGCAGCGGGAGAACTCAGTGATGGTGCTGGTCCCTTTTGATGGCAGAAGCCAGTGGGCGCGCCCGCTCATGGCGGGTGAGTCTGTGGACGCGCCGGTCTGTGCGGGAGATCGCTTGCTGATTTGGGGGCTCCCCACCAGCCTCACCGAGCCCTGGAGGGTGGTGGCTCCACTGCCATTGTCACCCGAGCAAGTTGCTTTGGTAGATGCCTTCATTCTTTCAAGCTGCCTGGATACTAAGGGGCTTGAATTAATAATTGACTAAAATTAATAGGCCGGTAATTGTCTAAGTGAAATGCGGTCTGGTCTTCATTCAGTTTGATGGTTCTTGTCCCCCTGCTGGATTTTTTGTTGTTGGTTCTGAGGCAACATTAAAAGGCTGTGGATGGGTGTGCCCTGGGTGATTTGTGGTTTAGCCGTCTACTTTTAAATGAAAATACCCGGCAAACAAAAGGCCCAGCTCCTAGGTCCAGAAAATGATTTGCAGAAGTCTAGGGTGGGTGACGGGATTTAGCAGGAATGGGGATAAAGCAGGCTAAAGGTTGGTTGAGAATAAAGTTAATATTCAGTATGGGTGTGTTGTGCCTGCCAAGAATATGAGCCTCACTGTGTTAATAAAAGTATAGATTTAGAAGGAGAGGTGCGATCGTCTGGTTCTGGCCTTGTCGAACCACCCGTGGCAGACGTCTGGGTTCTGCGAGGGGCACCTCTCCTTGAAGGGGGCATATTGGAAGGGGGCATGCTGAAAGGAGGAGAACCAGATCCACGTGGGCACCCCAACCATGCCATGTGGGAAATGGGGGAAGTGTGGGGGGCACGTATCTCGGTGGAGAGAGCTGAAGGGCCAGTGGACTGTTTGGGGACTGTCCCCATGTGGCCAGGCCAGGACACCAAGGGGCACTACCTCCATGTGAGGGACCCCACCAGCAGAACTCTTCAGGGGGACCGAGTTTTGGGTAATGGTGAGGCCCCTGTTATGGGAGTACTGCATAATCCCCCCCCATTGGTAAGCATGAGAAAGAAGTCTGTCTAACCACGAGATTCTATGATTTTCAAATGGACAAATCTGTATTTTTTAAGTTTAAGTGAAATTTGATAGGTGGGCCGAGGGGAATCAAGGTCCTGCATCATTCTAAGGAGCTGCTTGGACCAGCCGTAGTGGGATTTCAGCTCTCCCTCTGCCTCAGAGCCTATGCCCTGATTTGACTCCTGATATACCCCTGCAGTCTTGATGAGCCTGCGGCCGACCTGCCTGCCAAGGAGTGTGGCATCTCCTCCTGCCTCCTTCACTCTGTCCACTTTACTCCTGAGGAGGGGCTGACTTGCTGGGAGCAGATGATTACTTACTCATAGGCTTTGTTGGACATCAAACAATCGGTACTAACAGGATTCAGTACATTTCCCTCCTTTGACTTTACCATCCAAAGCCAGAGACGGGGAGAGCATCTGAACTGACTTGGGGAGAACAGGGTGGCCATACTTCCTTCTTGGCTGACACCGTGGAGAGAAATCCAAGTAGTCTCCAAGAAATCTAACGACCAGGATAGAATTAAAAACCCAGTCATTCCAAGTTTCTGATCTGGGGCCAGAACGCAGGCCATTTAAACCCTGTAGGCAAATGCTCCTGCCTTTGCTTCTTGCAAGAGAAATGGAGGGTCAGTGCTGGTGCCCTGGCAGGGACCAGGGCAGACAATTTAAGGACATCTCCGAAGGTGGTGTTTTCTTAAGGCTACAAGAAAAAGAAGGGACAGGGGAATAGCTGTTTACCTTTCCCCATCCTGTTTAAAACAGGGAGGCAGAATTGCCTAGTGGGGGGAAATGGAAGATTGAATCAGATAACCGTTCTTCACGCTGATCCAGCACTTACCCTAATGTCAAAGGCACAGCTCCCCCTCCATGATGGACAGCGGGTCTCGCTTTACTATGTATGGCACTGTGGCTCTTGGCAGCTCTTGGAATGCCCACGAGAGACCTGGGTCTGCTTCTGCCATCTGAAAGCAACACGTCGTGCTTGCTTCTTAGCTGCCTTTCTTGCTCACTAGTGATCCCATTTGGACAGAACAGAGACTTCCAGAAAGGTTCTGCCGACTTCAGCTGGCTTGGCCTAGCTACCAGCTCATGGACCACATCCATCTGAAAACTCTCACTGTGGAGTCACTTTCGGGGCTGACATTTTGAACTGGGGCTTTCCAGGCTGGCCCTGGGTTTGGCCAGCCAGTGAGGGGGACCGTGGAAATGGGGCTGGGGTCCCAGAGGCAGCTCTTCTCACGGTCCTTCTACAGGACAACGAAGCTAAGGGGCGGTGGGCCTCGTGCGTGCATGTGCATGTGTTGGGGTGGATTGGACATGGCAGGGAGAGGAAACATGGGAGAGATAAATGGTGAAGAAGAACCTGGGAAACATTGAACTAGATTTATTCTGACAGTGTGTGGGCCTACAGCCGTAACATAAATCACTTTCCTACAGAGGAATTCACTTCCTGAGCTTTGCACAACTTCATAAGCTTGGCATGTGTGTGAGAACAGAACCTAGCAATCTGAGAAGGGAAAATGACGGTTTGCACAAATGTGGTTGGAAACCACAACTGGTGATTTTGTCAGCACAAGGGGCTCCTGGGACTGGGGCCCGGCATGGCAGCGAGCTGAGAGCGCTTCGGCGCTCACTTCCAGTATTTCCAGGATGGAATCTGAAAGAGCAGAGTTAAAAAAAATGTTTTGTCCTAGCCACATGGCCTTGAACTCTGGGTTAAGGAGGAAATTAAAGGGGATTTTGGATCTGAGGATGAGCCCAGGATTGGAGCATCCATAGAAGCTCTTTATTCAGGTGATCCTTTCCAGAAATGGGGTGTGCACTTGACCAGTGCAGACCCAGGTTCTCTCTCTGATCCCGTCTGCAAGAATATCCACGGCTCCAACGTGTTAGTACACAGAAATGGTGACTGATCTGATGAATGAAAAATCAAATCCTGGTACAGCTGGGATTGCTCTGGTCCTCTGGGTCAACATGAAATGTCCCCTCCTGCATAAAGTCTTTCCCGGTTTTGTTTTGTATTTTTCTTATGACACTCACCTGGTATTCTAGCTATTTTGTGCTGTATGTAGCTTTCCATGAATGCAGCATTTGTGACTTCTCGGCCTGTGGAGGGCCTGGGTCCATGTTAAATTGACTTGAGTTCATACGTAAGTGACCATTCATTAGGGAATAACACTTCCTTGTCCGGAAGGAAGAGGCTCTGAAACTTGCCTGTATGCTATTCTAAGATATACTATTGCACCTGACTCATTAGCTGGAAATTGTAATGCTGGGGAGACCGAAACAAGGTTCAGCTACATAATGAGAATGGATCCACTAAGCCCAGTGAGTACGGCAGGTCTGTGGGCCACAGAGGGTCCACTTCGTGCTGCTCAACACTCAACTCCGGCAGCAACGACTTGCCTCTGAGTGTACCAATGCTCAGGTGGCCAGGTGCACCTGGGGGATTTTCACCAATACCATACTGGGTGGGAGCAGTGCATCGTGTCTGCTGATCTTGTCCTGAGGGGAGATTCCTTGGCATGACTGATCCCACATTCCACTCGGTCAATGTGATGGAAACTTACCAGCTTCCAGGACCTGTGCCACCCAGTGTGTACGCATGGAGAGTTTGACCCCACAGAGTCAAAATGCCAATATCCATACAGACCTTTATGGTGAGTAAAATGCTTTCACACCCATGGTTCATTTGATTCTCAGAACAATCTGTGAGGTGGCCAGGGCAATTATCAAAGACAGGATAATTATAGTTTTTTTGGTGGTGAGCTACAGAAACCGGTTGTGGCTAACTTCAGCAAAAAGTGTGTTTATTGAGAGGATATAGAGGACTCACATAATTGAAGGAACAGCTAAAGAACCAGCCTGAGACGAATTGGCTCATGTCCTTCCTTGGGACTCTTTGGTTAAGAGTCAAGGATCTGGGGACAGAGCATCCCGGGCCCTGCTGTGGCGAGCACCCCGCTCCGTGTAGGCAGAGCCTTTACTGACGGAGTCTTGTCAAGACTCAACAGGGCAGGGTGTACTGGGACCGGAAGCTGAGGAGGGTGATTCCCCAAAGTGAATTTGAGGTGCTCTTACCAGAGAAGGGTTATGGAGGCTGGTGGGTCAAAACCAACAGTGTATACCACTGTCCCCATTTCACAGATGAAGAAATAGAAATGCCAAGAATTTCAGCGATGTATCCAGGGAGCCACAGAAATGAAGCCAGGGATGTCATTCAAGCCGTCCAACTGAAGTTCCATGAGCTTCCCCCACCCCCACTTCTGATTTTATTATGGAGACAATATGAAAACAGGAAAGACTGCTTTGAGAAGAATCACCCATCATTCCGTCAGTACTACTGTTGCCCGCTTCCTCCCCGATTCATCCTCAGTGCGTTTTCTTTGTCACACG